ATGTGTGCTAGTTGTAAAACTTTCAAGTTTAGCTTTTGCTTGGTATGGGAACAGTCTTGTTTTTCTGAACAATCCCCCTTCACTGAAGCACTGAACTCAGAATAGATTACTTTTGTCTTCTACCTGGACCACCAGGTGCAAAGACTTTTTCTTGGGTTTCATTTAAATTGGTTTAAGTGGTAGTGCACTGAGATAGTTGCTCACTATGGCATAACAAGCAATGGGGATTCGCCAATTGGGGAAAATAGCTGTGGGACAACCAAATGGTACTGTGATAAAGCTGAAAATGAAATAGAGAAGTAGTAGTAAGTGGTCTACAACTATCGTAGGCCCCAACTGTGCATGTCTCCAGAGGGACATCTGCATATATTAATGACTTATTGGAAAAATAATCAATATGTATGCAAATGCACTGCATATGTATGTCTTAACTGTTTAAATACATAACCTGAAATCCAAGAGTGCATGCTTGATTTGTCAAGCTGCCTGGTACATATTGCGAGGAATAAGAGAATGCTGCTTTCCAACACCACACTGGAGTTAGAAAGTTTTCTTCCCAGATTTTTCCAATGACATCCTTACCTAGGAATTGTAAAGTAGATTTTCCAGTTGTAAAAATGAAATACAGTAAGTTCCTAAACAATTAGGTGACAAATCTGCAGTTTGTAGAGTGTCATCTGAAACGTAGGAATAAACTCTAATTCCAATGGGACGTTAGAAGGCAGGCATTCTTTATTCAGTGTGCCAGGCATCTTGGACCAAGCCAAGTGCACACCCACAAAGTCAGAGATCTGCTTTGTTCACATGGGAGATGCATATTAATTATATTCCTGAGAAGCAGCTTACATTTTTTGGGAACTCATTAATATGTACTACTGTTGTTCAGGCATGCATGATAGAGCCCTCTGATAGTCCCTGATGACCATTTTTCCCATCTATCATATTCTTCCTCTTTCCTGACCTTTGACTACTTTTTTTTTTTAAGTTAGTAGTTCCCATAGCTTGCCTTGCTACAATGAAAGACTATTTGTTCCCAGTTTTGCTAATGTAGCATTAAATAATTAGCTTATAAAGTCCTTGTATGTACCAAGTAGATAACAAAGAAATAAACAGAACCTGTACCAAACAGACAAAGCAAGCATTGTGCATCCAAGGCAAGGAGCCAACACCCATCTCCACCAGGGAACACAGTGAAAACTTTGCTGAGTTAACCTATATCAAGAAAGAGAACTGAATACATTCAACTTCCTATTGAACTTTCATTAGGAAGCACTTATGGGGTAATACAAAAACACAGTAATGTAATTCTGTACAATCAATGAATATACAGATGTTATAGTGTACCAAAGAGCTTAGCTACATAGTTATTACACCAAAGCAGAAAAGAGAGGACACTTACCCATATCCTGGGCTCACTTGTAAAACCCCAGCAGCATGAATCCCCAGAAGAAACCCCTCCCCCACAGGGTAGTCAGCTCTTAAATGGGTCTAGGAGAGGTGGAGCCAGGCTTCCGGCAGCACAGGTGAATTGCTTTAACCTGTGCTCCCCTGGCTGACTCTTTTCTCACCTCAGGTGATCAATCACAGGTTCAGGCCGTGATTCAGCACACAAATTCGTATTTTTAAGTAAGCGTCTTAATGTTTCTAACAGTACCTTAGGGATTATGGCAAAAGTTACTCATTGGTTTCTTACATATTAACATGTCTTTAAGCCACTTAGGTTTGAGAAAAGCTCACATTCTGTAGCACCTATGGAAGTCTCGTGCTCCTCCTGCAGCAGCAGGGGTGCCCTGGGGCTAGTGGGTGCAGCTCTGCCCATGGCGTGGCTTGGAGATGGATGGTCTTTAAGGTTCCTTCCACCCCATGCCTCGATGTGTTTCTGTGCTTACCTCAAACACACACGAAATGGCAGTGGAGAGTGGGTTTCACAGTGCCTTTCTTTTTCAGGATGTTGCTGGTAAGGAAAAACAGCACCTCTGCCCACCAAATGTCTGTATGCACGGGGCTGGCAAAGGAAACCTGTCCAGATACCACAAAGTATAAAAGCAAAGTGTAAAAATATGGCTAACGCTGCAAGGTGAAGGAAAACAAAGTAATGCCCAAAGCTGTGTGTGCCTCTTTGTATGTTTGCGCACAGCAGGGCACAAATCCTCTCAGGGTGAGGACTCGTGCTTACAGGTGGGAGAAGAGGTGATGTTTAGAAACAGTCCCTGCTTGGATGCTGCATCTCTCCAAGGCTGTGCTGCACCTCACTCAGCACAGACAGCACTTTGTTACTGCAGAGCTTGGTGGGACCACGAGCAGAGGGAAAGCACGAGTGTCCACACAGTAGTGGAAAATAGGTGTCTGGTGAGCAGCTGATGGGGGCAAAGCTTCTTCGAAGTGCCTCCAACAAATCTCACCCCGGATGTAGGGAGCAGATAACAGCATGAGTCCGCCCGTCCTGCTGCCTGAAGGCACCCTGGGTCTCTGGGGGAAGAGGTGGATGCAAGACAGGGTGCCTGGCTTTAGGTGGAGCAGCAGCTATGGTTTGACACAGGAAGGGCCTGGCCCCGCTGCCATCACGTCCCACTGCTCTGAGCACTGCTGCCACAAGTGTTGCCTTTGCCCCACTGTGCCCTGCTGTCCTCCACAGGTTAGTAGCATGGTGCTGCCGCATGCTCCCCAGCCTGGAAGGAGTCAGATAGCAAGGGAAAATTATGTGTATGAATGTACATGTGTATTGATTTAAAGAAATCGACGAGTAGGAATTTAACAGCAAAGTTAGTTACCATTAAGCAAGGTATTCTTTATTGGCAGCGCTGGGGTAGCATCAAGATAACTCTCCAAAAATGCTTCCCCAGTTGATTGTCCATAAGCAGGTTATATTTTCACATGTATTGCGTACGTAATAGGATGAGAGAGAATTGCACCAGGGGAGATTCGGGTTGGACATTAGGAAATGCTACTTCTCTGCAAGAATGGTCAGGCTGCCCAGAGAGGTGGTGGAATCACCAACCATGAGGGTGTCCAAGGAACGTTTAGATGTTGTACTGAGGGACATGGTTTAATGAGAACTACTGGTGGTGATAGGTGGACAGTGGGACTGGATGATCTTGTAGGTCTTTTCCAACCTTGCCAATTCTATGGTATTCACTGCATTCCCAAATTCTTAGCCTATCTACCCCGAATGATTGCCTAACAGATATACCCTTATGTAGCAATCTTCAGTGTCATCTAATGTACTTAGCGTTGTAATGGTTCATTTGTTAATCCTTGGGGGTCATTTACTTCCTCCCAACACTCTTTTTGTCCCAAAGATTGCTGTGGAATGCCAGAGCAATTGGAATAGTCTCTGCACGCACAGATAAGGAAGACAAAGGGAAACTTCTCGCTGTTCACCACGTCATTCCATTGTTGTTTCTTTCGCCTTGTTAAAGTAGACCTGCCTTACAACGTCTTCCCATCTAAAATACTAAATCACAACTATCAACCACAACATCTAAGGACTACTGCAGTATTGCAAGGAAGCATTAACAGAATATTTTGTGTAATTACTTCTTCAAATCACTATTTTCCTACTTTCCCCTGCTCAGCGAATGGCTTAATGCAAAATGTTTGCCACGTCCTACTTGGGGAACGAGGGACGCCGTTAAAAAGTTGCTTTACGGGCAGGCTGCTCCTTGCTTACAGCAAGAAATGTCGGTTGCTGCAGGTGTCGGGGCTCCACGTGCAGGGTCGGCAGCACCGCGGCTGACTATCGGTTTCTGTTCTGGGCTCTGAGTCTACACGCGGGACAGGGAGGAGCTCTGCATTCATTGGGGGAGAAACAAATTTGTTGCAAAACGCCCGCTGCCTGGCATCACTTTCCTCCTCGTCTCCGTCGGTGCACCGAGGTGAGTGCAGCCCCGAGGAGCGGCTCCCGGCGCCTTCAAACGCTACGTGCCCCAGCACGGTGCCAGCAGCTCTGCTTGGCACACCTGGGCTCGGGCGCGGGGCTTCTGCGAGAACGAGCCCTCCTGACTGCTGCCCCCTCCTTTCGCAGCCTGGCTCTCGACGATGGCCGTCCCCACCGTGGTGACCCTGCAGCCCCAGGCGATGTCCAGGACCACCAGCGCCAGCCCTATATGGCAGACGGGGCTGATGGATTGTTTCACCGACTGGAGCGTCTGTGAGTGCCGGGGGGTCGGGCGGGCGGCGGAGGCTGAGAGCGCGCGCCGACGGTGCGTCCTCCTTTGCAGGCTGCTGCGGGCTGTTCTGCTTCCCCTGCTTGGCCTGCACGGTGGCCGGCGACATGAACGAGTGCTGCCTCTGCGGGACCAGCGTAGCCATGAGGACCCTGTACCGCACCCGCTACAACATCCCGGTCAGTGGGGCGCGGGCGGCACGCTCCCTTTTCCCCCTTTTGTCTCTCAGCCCCCCGCACAGCCACGCGGAGGGGCCGCGCTCTGCACCCTTCCTGCCCGCCCCGTAAGTGCGGGCGATGGAAGGACGTGGTGTGTGCTTTTCCCCTCTGCCTCAGACCGAGAAAACAAAAGATAAGTTGCTCTCTCAAGGCCGGTGGTAAGCCATCATTTCTCCCTTTCTGCGTTATCATCACCTGCAGGCAGGACAGCCCGCTGCTCTGCAGTCAGATCACAACAAAGAGATGAGATGTGGAGAGTGACCGGCTCAGCACAGCTTTCTTGGTTCCAAAACGTGTTTTTGGGAAGCCCCGCTCCTAACGCCTGCCTCTCTCTCACAGGGCTCCATCTGCTCTGACTGCTGCATCTCCTCCTGCTGCCTCGTGTGCTCCGTCTGCCAGATCAAGCGGGACATCAATCGGAGGAGAGCGATGGGCATCTTCTGGTCGGTGTGCCCTTTCCTTGTGCCTCACGCCATGGGAGGGTGTATGTGATTGCCTCTTCCTCCTCACTGTCTCTTCTTCTACCCTTGCAGATGCCATAGAGATGACACCGCCTCTGCCTTATGGGAAAGGGGCACGGAGCCAGCTGTGACTATTGCATGTCTCCCTTTCATTCATGCCCCCAATAAAGAGCAATGTTTGCCTTGCCTCTATGTCTTGTGCAGATGGGTTTTCACCAGGGTTTCCCAATTGTACCTTTCCTAAGCGATATGGGATGCACATGGGGTACTGGTGGACATGTCACCCTGTGTCACATCAGCAGGCTTCCTCATCACTGCGGGAGCAGTGGGGATGTTGTGCAGGCGGGGCGTGTGGACATTGGCCAGGAGGAGCAAAGGTTGGCAGAACCCAGTGCATAAAAGGGATGGGGAGTGGGGCAGAGCAGAACAGCGCCAGGAGCAGGACAGGCGTGTGCAGCTGGAGGGAGATTTGGGGTGAGACTGTGGGACATTGGGGTGAAACAGCACTGCCTGGGCAAGGGAAGGGGTGATGGGTATTCTAGTGGGAGTGGGGTTGTGGCATTGTAGGAGGAGCAGCAGCAATGTTGGGTTCTAACCCTTGTGCTGGGGATGAGAGCACAAAGCAGCCATGCTTTTTATCCCCATTCAGGGCAAGCAGAGCACATGGAACTTTTTGCATGGGACGTTGCAGGGCATTACCATCACTTAATGAAAAACACTTGCAGCTGTAAAGCTGAAGAGAGAGCAAGATGGGGGTGAAGAAGGAGTGGAGCTCCTCAAGTGGAGCTGTTTTGGGGCAGATGGGTGTCGGCATAGAGGGAGGAGTGGGTGTCAGGCAGAGGCTGCAGCCTCTTGGCTGGGAAGAATGGGAGCAGGGGAGCTACAGCAGTACTGTGTGGGAGATGGTGGCTGGGTGTGGGGCAGGGAGGAGGACAGAGGAAAAAAGCAAGCTGCCCTGGAGTTGCTGAGGGAGGACACCCTTTCCTTCCTTCCCCACCAGCCTTCCTTCCAGGACACCCTGTGCAAAGCGCCGATCATGGCCACCCGTCACGTGGTGACAATCCAGCCTGGCTTCTCTGCACCCCCACAGCCCAGCAAGTGGCACACGGGGATGTTGGACTGCATGTCTGACTGCGGCGTCTGTGAGTAGGCATCAGCCCCATATCTTGCGTCCCTCCTGAGGGGATTTTGGTAGTGTTGCTGTGCTCCCCCCTGTCCTGGGTCAGACTGTGAGCTCGGGGCTTCCCTCCATTTCTCACAGGCATCTGTGGAGCCTTCTGTTATCCCTGCCTGGGCTGCCAGGTGGCCAACGCCATGGACGAGTTCTGCCTTTGTGGCGGCAGCGTGGCCATGCGGACGCTGTACCGCACCCGCTACAACATCCCGGTCAGTGGGGGGCTGGGGGGGAAGCGGTGTCGGGTGGCCCTATGGGTGCTCAGCCACGAGGGGTTTTTCACGTGATGGCATTTTCTCATCAGGGCTCCATCCTGGGTGACTACTGCTCGGTGCTGTGCTGCCCCATGTGCTCTCTCTGCCAGCTGAAGAGAGATATTGACTATCGGAAAGAGCAGCGCACCTTCTGGTGAGTGCTCCCTGCCCTGTAGAGCCACCAGGGGTGTTCCAGAGCCCCTTTCCAGCAGGTCCAGTGTGTCCCACCCCTCAACACCACCTTCTCTTGCAGATGCTGCTCCCCTGCCTGTGAAGTCGATGCTGCCCTCTAGGACTGTTTGGTTTGCTGTGGCTTTTCTTTGTTTTTTTTTCCCCAGTGTTTTCCCCCCCCCCCCCCCCTTCAGTAACTCAGTCAATAAATAGCAGTGCTTGCCCTCACTTCTGTGTGTCTGTGTTTATTCACTTACTGTTCTTTGATTTTATGATGCCTTGGCGTCCTGCTGCAACCTCAGAGAACAGCACGCTGCTTTCTGCTGAGCATTCAGAGCAGCACTGAGCACACCAGGTAGAGACCTTCTCTTGCAGACTTGCACCAGGATGAGACTGCACGAGGACTGCAAAATTTGGTGGGGAAAAAAAGAAACAGGTAATGAAGCAGAAGCTGAGCCAGTTGTGGAACCTCAGCTCCCCCCTGCATGCAGCAGTAGGGCCTATGATGGCATGGATGGGGAAGCAGTGGGGACCACAGGATGGCTTCTCATGTCTGCACGAGCTTCATGAGGAACCACAGTGCAGAGTCCACCTGCCCAGAGCCCTCAGATTTGGGGAAAAAACATGTGCTTGTGGGCTGCCTTGCTGCAAAAAGGCATTTGAGCTCAGGGCACGGGAGTTGCCTACACACCAGTGACAGATGAGGACTGTGTCCCTAGCCTGAGCTCCTGCAGCCCTGTCCCTTCTACTCCACACTGCTGAAGGGCCCCTTTGGGGATCCTTTTTCCCCTCCTCTGGGAACAGTGGGGCTGCATGGGTGTTGGCCGTGTGCTGAAAAGGTTTCCCTGCCCATGGGTGTGAGATGGTGGTGACTGCATGTGCAGAGTTCTGCAATACAAAGGGACGCGGAAGCTTTGTTTCTGTTTTTTATTATACTTTGGAAGTGATTACGTATTTACAATGCCTTGTATTTCTGCACGTTTGTATGCATTTACTCAAGGTGGTTCCAGTGTGGCAAAACCAAACTGCTCCCAGGACTGAGGCCAGCTGAAGTCAAAGAAATGTCTTGCTACTGGTGTCACAACACCCAGCATCAGCAGGCACTGGCCACCAGGGTCCCATCTGCCCTGGAGACCTCCTGTGGAGAAGCTCTCATAGCAAATCTGCTCCTAGGTAAATACTGAGTTAATTTTATCCCTTTTCACTGTCAATGCATGGGTGGGTTTTAGGATGTGGCTTGGAAGGCGGGATCTGTTGGAGTAATGTCCTTCCTGCTGGAAGCCAGGAGAAGGCCCCAGGAGGACCTGAGAGTGTCCATTTAGTATCTAAAGGGGGGCTATTGAAGGAAAGGGTCTCTTTGAAAGGACAAAGAGAAACTGTTTCAATCTATAAGAGGGGATATTGAGACTGGATATAAGGAAGAACTTTTTTACACTAGGGGTGATGAGGCACTGGCACAGGTTGCCCAGAGAGGTGGATAAAGCCCCATTCTTGGAGACATCCAAGGTCAGGCTGGAAAGAGTCCCTTTCAATTCAGATGATTCTGTGATTTAATGAGATCTCCTTCCTATCTGCTGCTGACAGCTGTTTTCCAGGCAGCCCACTCTGCTCTCACAGATAATTAGTTACCCTAGTTTCTCCATCCTGCACTCAAGGACGCTGCTCTTCCTGCTAAGCTTATCAGGCACGCCGTGACTCCTGGCTCAGCAGCTGTGTGTCCTTATCACTGTGTTTAATAGGCTGCCTGTGAGACTGCTCCATCCTTTTCCCCTGCAGTCAGGGGCTCAAGAAAGAGTGACTTTCTGGGCCTGACCAGCAGGGCCCTATAGCCCCCAGTGCTATACAGCAATTCTGCTTGCTTCTCTGGGAAGACACACAACTAATTATAACTCTGTTCCTGCTTTTTTTTTTCAGCTCTGGACCAGTGCACAGTCCAGCTCATAAACTGTCTGGCTACTGGATGTCCCAGATCATTTCTTGTTGCTCCTCTTTTTTGAAGTTACTCTGGTTGTAGAAGCTACAGATGATGGATTCTTCAAGGCCACATACTAGAGTCAGCTTTGGCTAATTCCATCTCCACATAATTGATTCAGGCTCAAAAGTGCTGCACCCAGTCTGCATTCTCAAGCCTGAAAAAGGTAGGGCTTAGATATTTTTCTGAGTCTCGGAAACAAAGGACTGAATCCCACGTTTCTAATCACAAAAAAGTGTAGGACTTAAGCCTTTCTATGAGCTTCAGAAATGCATGTCTACCTCCAGTTCTGAGCTCCAAAACCGGCCCTCGGCGCTTGTTATGCCCAAAATGTCACACCCTCCATTTTCAAGCTCTGAAAATGAAGAACTCAGCTTTTTTTTTTTTTTTTTTGTCCTGATTGCCTCAAGAGCACATAACTTTCGGCTCCATTTTCATTTACTGAAAATGCAAGGCTTAAACTTTCCTTGTTTTTTAAGCTCCACAAAGGCATGACCAGGCTTTGGTTTGCGAACCCTGAAAACAGCCCAACAAGCTCATTAGAGTACTCAAAAACGCAGAGCTGACACATTTTGGGGCTGACAGCACAGCGCGTGCTTGCTGCCACGCTAAGGACTGACCGTGACCCGTGTGCGATGCGGAAGGCCGGGGGCACACCCTGCCCAAAACGCGGTGCTGGGAATGAGGGGCGGCAGCTTCTCGCAGGGAGGACCCGGCCCGTGCGGCTGTGAGGTGGCGCCGGAGGGGTGAGAGTCAATTTATTTTCATTTATTTCGTTTTATTACAAGCTTTTCTCCACCACCTGCACGACCGCCACCGGCACCCAAACCTCTCCCAAAGCCGCCGGACATACCTAACTCGAGACCCCCGCTCCAGGCTTCAGCCCAAACGGGCTGGACCGACCCCAAGGCCGCTCCGTGGTGCCCCAGGCCCCACTCTCCACCCAACCGAGCTGGCCGGCACGCTCCGCAGCACAACACACCACCCCACAGCAACGCCCACGGCCAGCCAACTCGGAGCCCAGGTGCCCGTGCAATTTGTGTCTTCTGCTTCTCCCACCCCTCCCCGCCCGCCAATCACAGCCGAGCATAGCGCCGGCATGGCCAATCCCGCCCCGCCTCCCTCCGCTCTGCCCAATCCCAGATTGCAAACCTCTTGGCTCCGCCCCCGAGAGCGGAATCGTTCAGGTGTTGCGCGGTGCGACGGGGCTGCTTGCGGCGGGCGTGTAGGACTGTGTACCTTTATAAAAGAGCTTCATAGCTAGGTGTTAATGTAAAATAGAAACGCGCCAGACGACATTTATATGGTCCTATCTAAGTAGAAATTTATTTATACTGTCCTAAGTTTAGGGTAGTTTGGTTAGATCGTGGTTGGACTCGATGATCTTTAAGGTGTTTTCCAACCTGAATGATTCTATGATCCTGTGGTTCCAAGTGCATACGATATATTTGTATTGCCTGTTACAAATGCACATGGACGGACGCAGGAGCAGTAGCTGGCCACGGGGGGGTGGCTGGCAGCCAGTCCCAGGGCAGCCCGATAACACCACGTCCACGCACGGCCAGCAGCCAATCCTGGCATTTCACATGCGGAGGAACCTGGGCACAAAATGGCGGCACGGTGCCAAAACAAAATGGCTGCCTACAGCATCCCACAGAGGCAGCGGAGGGCACCTGGCCTTGGTTCAAGTCAAACACGGAGTTTGAAAATGCATTTTATTGAAGGCCAATAAAAAGCACTTCTTACTTACTCTGGGCTTGCATCTCTTTCTTCCTTCTCTGCCAACTTGGCTGCTGCAAGGGAAGGACAGTGCAAGACCTCAGACACCAGCTGGGAAGAGCAGGACGTAAGAAATCAGTTGAGGTTTAACAAAACCAAGTGTAGAGTCTTGCACCTGGGAAGGAATAACTGCAAGTATGGGTACAGGCTGGGACACGGCCTGCTGGAGATGAGCTCTGCAGAGAGGAACCTGGTGGTCCTGGTGAACAACAGGTTGGCCATGAGCCAGCAGTGCGTGGCATCTTGGATGAGGAAGGTAATCCTCCCCTGCCCTGGTCAGCCCTCTCCAGGAGTGCCGTATCCAGTTCTGGGCTCCCTGGTACAAAAAAGTCAAGGATCTCCTGGAGAGAGAACAGTGGAGGGCCACAAAGATGATAAAGGGCCTAGAGAACCTCTGTGAGGAAAGTAGTCTGTTTAGCTTTGAGAAAAGAAGACTGAGAGGGGATCTAATTAATGTTTATAAATATCTTAAGTGTGGGAGACAAAGGAACATAGCGAACCTCTTTTCAGTGGTCTGTAGGGACAGGACAAGAGGAAATACCCATAAACTGGAGTGCAGCAAGGTCTGCGCAAATATACAAAAGAACTTAATGGTGAGGGTGATGAAGCACAGGAATGGGCTGCCCAGAGAAGTTGTGGAGTCTCCTAATCTGTAGATAGGCAAGATCTGTCTGGACGCCTATCTGTGCAGCCTGCTGAAGGGAGCCTGCTTTGGCAGAATGGTTGGACTTGATGATCTCTAAAGGTCTCTTCCAACTCCTACAGACCTGTGACTCTGTGATCTACTCAGATAGGCCATTTCCTCAGTGCCCTCTTCCTCTTAAGGGAGCTCAGGGACATGGCCCTGGTCAGGAACTGAGTGGCAAATAGTATCAGGGTGGAGTTCAAGGAGCAGACCAAGATGATGGGGAAGGTGCTCATGACCAGTCACCAGCTGGATTTATTTGCATTCATCACCCCTCTCCGGGCCTGGCCGTCCAACCAGTTTTGTACTCATTGAAGAGTACACCTGTCCAAGCCTTGGGCTGCCAGCTTCTCCTGGAGAATACTGTGGGAAACAGAGTCTAAGGTCTGGGGGAGTCCAAGCACAAAGTGACAATGTAGAATACCAAAACAAAATGGCAACCTACAGAGTTGCACTGAAGTGACCCAGGGGGTCCCAGAGCCCCCTCTGCTTTCTTCCTCACCTGCTCTTACACCCTAGCCCTCTGCTCCTCCCACTGCAGGAAAACCTCTTGCTGTGCTTGCTTGGTAGCAGACTTTTCCTGTGCAGAGTGCCTGAGAGGCCTTCCAAATCACTGAGGAAAGGCACCTGCTGGTCACTAATGTTATCAGAACAGCAGCTATAGATCCATCCAGCCTGCAGTATGTTGAGTCCTCCCTCCTCTTGAAAACAGCATTCACCATCAGCTTGGAGGTCA